ACAGACAAACGAACTTACCTGTCACATAAATTAAACATATTTTTCTCTTCTGATAACTTTAAAATAGCTTTTAAAAACTGTAAAACAATTGACACACTTTTTTCCAAAATTAAAAAACCCACATCAGTAACAAATAAATCATACGTAATTTACAAAATCAATTGTTTAAATTGTCCGGCAACTTACATCGGAATTACATCCCAATATCTGGATAAGAGAGTAAAGCAACATATCTATGATTGCAAAAAAAAAATCCAACAGCACCGGCTACCTACCATTTTCAACACCAACACAATTTCGACTTTAATCATCCTAAAATATTACACACAGAACAAAACAAAAATAAACGTAACGTTTTAGAAATGTGTCGTGTTTAGTGACCGTTAATTAATGATTATTTCGAGATCGAGAGGTGCGGTCTGGTGTGGCGTAGGCTTTAGAAAAACATTTTCTATATCACTCCAACGTTTCGATCTTTTTGAGATCATCTTCAGGGCCTGGGATTTATAAACATTGTTTGATTTTTACAAATACATTTAGGATCTGGGAAAGTTATGAATATATACAATGCTAGAAAATTTTAGATTCAAAATAATGAATTTATACAATGCTACAAAATTTTAGATTCAAAATAATGAATTTATACAATGCTACAAAATTTTATATTTAAAAAAGGAATGAATTTATACAGTGATAGAAATTTTGGACCAATCAAAGTATTTGTAATAAATCACTCAAAGTGTTTGTTTTCTGTTGAATATTGAATGTAGATGTGTCATTATTGGGTGTTGTGTTGAGAGTGGTAGTGAGATATTGATATTTTATGTTTATATACGTTGGATTTTGAATGGGTAGGGAAGGATGTCGGAATAAAAGACATTTTTATATGAGGAGTCAGCTTCTTTGAGGTGAAAGAAGCCGTCAATGGGAAGATTACAAAGGTGTTTTTACTTTTTATGTATTCATATACAGGGTGAATTGCTACTCGTGCTACAAACTTCTCCAGTAGATTCTTCACCCTAAAATGAACAAAAAAGTTCATATTGTCCATGGTCCGATTCTCAACCATTTCAGAGTAATTTCGCTTTTTATCGATTTTGAAAGATATCACGTCCTGGCGTCGGAAAATCGTGATATCTTTTAATCTAAACATTTCTCTGAAAATCTAATAGCACCGTTGAAATTCCCGTTAATTTTTCAATAAGAAGATGACGGTGGCAAAATGTTTGGGCTAATTTTTTGTGTTTTATTTCAGCCAGAACTACAAAAAGAGTGGAAAATTGTGTAAATCGGAAAGTGTATAAAGTAATCCAGAGTTTCTAATTTTAGTCTCAGAAGGCAGCAAATTTGAGGAAAACTACCTGATTTAATAACGCTTCCAACGCACTCGTCATTTTCTTATTTAGTGGTTGTGAGACCAAGATGTTGATGACAAAAAGAGAAAAAATGGTGGTTCAAGGATTGCTAATGTTTGAGAGTGACTTGCTACTCGTGCTACAAACTTCACCAGTAGATTCTTGACCCTAAAATGAACAAAAAAGTTCATATTGACCATGGTCCGATTCTCAACCATTTCAGAGTAATTTCGCTTTTTATCGATTTTGAAAGATATCACGTCCTGGCGTCGGAAAATCGTGATATCTTTTAATCTAAACATTTCTCTTAAAATCTATAAGCACCGTTGAAATCCCCGTTAATTTTTCAATAAGAAGATGAAGGTGGCAAAACGTTTGGGTCTTTCTTCCTTGACCTTCTAGCTGTTTGTAAACTTCTTAAGCATTACATACTAAATGGGCATTAAATTAAATTAAAAAATTTCAATGGAATTATGATTTTGATTCTCTCTAAAAATTAACGGGGATTTCAACGGTGCTTATAGATTTTAAGAGAAATGTTTAGATTAAAAGATATCACGATTTTCCGACGCCAGGACGTGATATCTTTCAAAATCGATAAAAAGCGAAATTACTCTGAAATGGTTGAGAATCGGACCATGGACAATATGAACTTTTTTGTTCATTTTAGGGTGAAGAATCTACTGGAGAAGTTTGTAGCACGAGTAGCAATTCACCCTGTATATAGTTTTAGATGAATAGCATATTATTTCACTTATGCTAGAATTTATTATATACCTTCGACACACCTAGATGCTCAAACCTATGATGTGGTGGTTGTTGTTATGACGGTTTGTAACAAATAAGTGAGTTGAAGTTATTTTTACGTTACGTAAAATTATGCAACTTGTACGATATTTTCCTCTGCCCAATTGTCATCATTACAGATAAAGCTTAATTTGATTATGTGGGATACACATGTATTATGCATTTGTTGAACATGTCTGCTCATATTTGATCGGTCTTCATTAGTGGCTCGTTGTTTGGGAGCCTTGATGGATTGGCATTGGGAACACTCGTCATTGAGCGTTTCGATGAATGGACGGACGAATATCTCCACGCAGTCGGTAACAGCCCAAATCGCGGGGTAATAATTCAACACCATATTCTGATGTTAATATTGCGTCGGCAGAACCATACGTCATAAGCATAAATTGAGCAATCGGTCTCACCTAGTAATTCTTTCTCATTAAACGTTGCCCCTTTTCAGGAACCCCACTCCTGTCGCCCCTGCATGTCCTCTATTTTTCCTAATTAACCCACCGCATTAAACACTACCCCCCTGGAATATTTAAGGGGAATTAAATTGTTGCAATTGCCCCCCGGTGTTCATTTGGGTTGACTGCACCGGCCTATAAATTACCACGGGGCATGTTTCTAATTAACCTTAATTTTTAACTTTTTCCCTCTCTTGAAGGGGGTGGGCCTATTGTTAACGCCAGGAATACAAATCAGCGGGGCCTCCAATCAAGTATTTAGTACACTTTCGTCGGTTTGAAATCATTATCACCCAATGTTTCTTTCAATTCATGTTTTTACACTCTGTACCATTTTTTTTTCCACCGCACATCCAACTAATGAATATATTTATTTTCATTACAATGCACATTTCTCATAAGCATTACAGCTTAGTATTTTTGTTCTTAATTATCTTTAAGGTAAAGAACTGCGCATGAGAAGCTAATTAGAGTTTCTTTCTGAATTAGATTTTCGGCATTTTGAAAGATGTTATGACAAGTTGGAAGGGTTTACATCAGTTACATAACTAATACTTTCCTGTTAACCATGTTCAGACGATCAATGATTTTCACATTATCAGGCTGGTCACGGTTTCTTTTCGAAAACAAGTTTTGGAAGTTGGAATCACAGTTTTCTGTTTTGAATATTCGATTGTTTCAACCAAACTTACCAAATCGAACCAGTATTAGTCAAATAAGGATTGCATATAACATGATGTTGAGCGCATGTACATTTTTGTTCAAACTCCTGCTCATGACACTGGTTTTTTTCATCTCAACCAATACCTTACATAAAAAGAATAATTAATTGAAAGAAGTAATTTGGTTAATTAGACCACTAAACATAATGGATTTAATAAGTAAAAGAAGTAACATTTCACTAACAACTCCCCCCAGCCACTTCATAATTCGCTGAGAATCGAATTCTGATAACACGACGAAAAATGCAAAAAAGAGGGAAAATTTGAACGGTTGTAGGTTCAGATGGGGAGTTGGTGTCCCAGTGAATCGAAGTCACGATAGTTCAAGTGGTTAGAGCAGCGGCGTATCAAGCCGAACGTCGTCGGATCGAATCCCGCTCGTGTCACTGGCTTTTTCATCTCAACCAAGACCTTACATAAAAGGAATAATTTTTGTAAATAAGTAATTTGGTAAATTAGACCCCGAAACACAATGGATTTATTAAAACTGTTAACTCTGATAAAATTCAATTTAAAAAAATGTAGGTTTAATATGATTTTTGCCTTACATATTTTTCAGCCTGACATTTTTAAAATTTTATTCTTGAAATGGCACTTAACGTTCCTTGTTTTCAAACATTTGTCCATTCTTGATTAACTTCCCTCAAAATTGTACTTAAAAAAATGCGATCAATTCGCATTTATTCTTTCCTTTGACACAACGTCTGTTTACAGGTCGTTGGGACGAAATAAAATATTCATATTCTCAAAAACTAATTCCGAGTTATAATTGAAAATCTTTCCAATTTTTTCTTTTCCCGTCCAGTTTTTACGAACCACCTGCATTACGAACAAAAAGTAAGAAAAACAAAAAAACTTCTTTTACTGAACGTCACGGACCATTCCGGCTGTGATTGCTCCGCAAAATTAATTATAAACTTCGGAAGTTCGGAAAACAAGTGGAGGGAAAAATAATGAAGAAGGACTTGTATTAATGTTTCCATCACTCTAAAAAAAATCCATCTTAAATTGTTATATTAGTTAAGAGTAGGTAAAAATTATGGGTTTGTTCATGGGTAGTAAATTCCTGCATAAATAAGTCATTGGGCTGAATGAAATTTAAATTTCAGGAACGTTTGAACGATTGTGGACCAAATCAAGAACTCTGTTTCCCAAATTTTTTCTGACTGACCATTTCCTAATGATACTGTTATAAAATTTAATTAATTACTGTCCTTCGTGTCACAGACTTGGTAAGATAAACAGAATATAGTTTACTCAACGATTTTACTAATTTTCTATCCCGTTACATCCTTTTTGAACTATTCAGTGTGAACAGACAGTTATCTTTTTGTATACAAGTTATAATGACTAGAATATCAATGGAAGACTTTGAATGCCGAGAAGGTGGAAGGACTGCAGTTGAAGAGGTTCGGCGGAAGAAGCTCCTAACATATTATGAACAAGTTGAATACCTCTTGTTCTCCCTCTTCTCCAACTTTGCCATTTGAATACTGGCGAAATCTGAATGCCCGGCTCACCGGCTAAATGGAGTTTGCTGTTAGGCCACTCTATCCTAATGTTTAGAATCAATGTGCCCTTATCTCAACTGTTACTAAGCGTTTCGTAAATTTTGACCCAGCTTATTGTTGTATTGTTTGTAATGTTATTTTATTTTTGTTTTTCAGAACACCATCACATATTTGTGGGTGACCTGAGCCCGGAAATAGAAACACATACTTTGCGAGAGGCGTTCGCAGCATTTGGGGAGATTTCGTAAGTCCTTTTTTATAATACTTTTTTATAATAAAAGTCAGCTGCTTTCGACTTACATAAACAAATATTCAAATTGTGTAAGACAAACCGGTATAACCTTCAATTCAACCTTTAAGGAATTTCTCCTGCGAGCCGTGCTATTAAACCTCATTAAGTCGGTTTAAGACCCCTTAAATCTTCATTCAAAATTGAATTTCATATTCTGCTTTATTAATTCGACTGAATCACTCGTTTAAAAGAATGTATTTACTTCGAAAAGCTTTCTCTTTTGTATTGTTTAAACTTGCACAAAAAATTTTTCGTTTTGAATCATGATTAGAGTAAATTCCTGAAAATTTAATTTGAAATTGATTTCCACTTCACTAAAATATTAAGTTTTATCGGTCGTCGTTCCTTTGTTCTTTTGAAAAGCGACCCTTTTGGATAAATGATTAAAATTATTTATTTCTCTGTAGTAAAATTAAAGATATTAGTTTGGTTTCTTAACATACATAACTATGTGGTTGGTTTTATTGTAAAAACAAATTTTTATTAGCGATGTCTAATGTGATATGAATATTATATGACAGTAATATGATCAAGGAAAGTGTAATAATTTTTTCACATTCCATTTAATATTCAAAACAAATTTTAATTAAGTTTTGAATTAGAAATTGCGATATTTTAGGTTTGAAAATATTCTTACTAAACTAATTATGCAGTTAGTTACCCTAACCTGTTAATTTTTCCAAAATCTTTCCTGATGTGATATTATTTTCAATACTAAAACATTTGTGAAAAATAAAAGAAAGGATGTTTAATAAAAAAAAAAAAAGCAAACGATGTTTTCGATCTTAGACATTAAAGGTAAGATTAATAAAGCACAAAAAATGAACGAATCTCGTTCAAGCCCTCTCCAAACTTGAAAGTTAAGTACAATAGAGAAGGTCGTAAAGTAAAGAAAGCCGGGACAGACTGGAGTCGGGTCTTTTCACCAGCTTTTCCCAAAAATCAGCCTTTCCAATAGAGATAATATTCAACATAATTAAGAGTGACATTTGTCACCATTATTTATTTTTGTGAAAATAAATTCTACCCAAGCTATAAATACGCTTTGTTTACTATAGACCCAAAAACAACTGGACGCAAACTACTAACCACTTGAAATAAATACGCTTTGAGGCTATTCTATGGTTTCAATTTCATTTTAAAGCGTATGTTATAATAACTGCTGATATTCAGCTGGATCTATGCAAAATGGCGGATAGTTAACTTTTTTAAACTGTTATGAACAATGATATTAACTAAAAATAGAGATTAGAAACATATAGTGTGGTAAAATCATACTGCAAGTACCTACCGAAGGCAAATTCTAAAGTTTCCATATCCCATTAAATATTCTCCAGGTTCTCATAACTCAAAATTCTTAAAAATCTATCGTGAAAGGTATACATCACAACCTCAATACTATAATTTGCAACACGCAGTTCCCGATCCAGCAGAAACTCTCGTTAATAAACCTATTTCCCAAATACCACATAGTGACCCATTCTCATGCAGACCTATAAAGCTTTCTCCAAATTCTATTTTTTTTTTTAAATTTTTTACTTCTTCCCCTTAAAAGACTAATCTCCGTATTACAATCTCTCAACTACATCGCGTTCCTTGAATTTGATTTTAGATTCGTTCATTCTACCCTACTGTCTAGCCGGCCGTAGAAATCAAGTATTATTGCTCAGCAGTTTTTCTGGATGTCACGTAGGCATTTTACAGTTTGGTTCCCCAAAATCCTTTTCAAATTAAAAAGTATTCTTCCACACACCTACTACCTAATCCTCAAGTTCGTCATTTTGGATCGTGGTTCAAGATGATAATTAGCATGGAATTTTCAGACAACGTTTACGGCTTTTCAGGGAGTATCATAGGCGCAATCATGTACACAGTTTATACCCATGACCTATGCCCAACACCCAAATCACACCCTTCGGGGATGTCAACCCAATAATCCGGACACCATCCCTAGCCACCGTCCTGACCTTATCCTAGCAACAGAAGAAAATCTAGACTTTAGTACAGACTGTTACACACGGTAGTGCGTGAACCTAAATGAACACAAAAGCCATCAAGTGTTGTTCGCCCAAAGAACACGAAACTGCACACCAGTGCACATAAACGATAAGGTTCACCTTGGAACAATCTGTGCATGAAGTATACACAACGAACTAACAATACATAAAACTTAATCAGAACTTCTCCATCCCGTTCTCAGCCTTAATCTTCACTAACCAAATCAACAACAAAGACCAAGACATTCCTAACCAGACCGGAGCCGAACACGATTTCACAAATTTTTACTCATTTTCCACGCCGCCTATAGAAGTCAGTAGCCTAGCATAACTTGTAGCATGCCCTCCTATATATGGGTCATGCCAAATCTTTATTCTACTGTTCATTACGCTGCCAATTTCACTGTGATATATTTTTGTACAGATAACAATTAATATGCTATAATTGCTATATGCGCTTGTATACAGTGATTTCTTGTCACTTGAAAGTAGATAAAGAATGGTTTTATTTCTTGCAGTCTGCTAAACTTCTTGGAAGAAAAGTTTTTCTCTTGTAAGTATCCACTCTAATCCATCACTTCTGCTTTCATCGTTGTCTTTACAAAAGGAATCGTGTTAAGTAAATTAAATCTTGATGCTACAAACTATTCGACCCGGATCACTTTTCTTTTTATATATATATATATATTCTTTTATTGCACTAAATAAAACTTCCGTTTCGCTTAATTTTTTGTTTGGCAAGAACTGTACGGAAGAGTCGTTGGGCGGTGTGTTTTGCAGTTCTGCTGAACAAAGTGAAGTCTGAGATGGTTTTTACTTCTAACGAGTCAAAGTTACAGGGTAGGACATCAGCGAGGCAAAAACCGGCAGGGTAACCCATCCCTAGTTCTTGTTTTTAGCGTGTCCCAGTGGGCCACTTCCCCTCACACGTCCGTCCTTCTTCATCCCAACCACAATAGCTAAATTCCTTCTCCGGATTCGCTTTTAACGTCAGTCAAAGTTTCAATCTAGTCGCCGTTTAACTGTAGATCTTAGAACATATTATTAGGTTATGTACTTTTATGTCTAGGTCAATTAATGTAGTAGATTTCGCTGCTCTAAGTACAAACCTTTGTATAAAAATTTTCAAAAACACTATTATTGTGGAAGTGACAACACATATTTGTTCACTTGTAGATAGATTATATGTTGTTGTGTTAGAATATATGTTGAAAAGAATAATTTGGACAAATCTTTTAATAACTAGTCGAAAATCGATAATACAGATTACCCTTTACGTTTTAGTGATCAGTTGACCACGTTACTTCTTTCAATTAATTATTCTTTTTATGTAAGGTATATCTCAACCAAGAGATAAAAAAAGTAAGTGTCACGAGCTGGATTCGAACCCACGACCTCTGCTAAATGCGTCGCTGCTCTACCACTTGACCTATCGTGACTTCGATCCTCTCGGACACCAACTATGAAATGGAAACTATGGAACTGAAAAATCGAAAGGATGTAGAGCAATGTAGAGGGGAGGATCGAAGTCACGATAGCTCAAGTGGTAGAGCAGCGACGTATTTAGCAGAGGTCGTGGGTTCGAATCCCGCTCGTGACACTGACTTTATCTCAACCAAGACCTTACATAAAAAGAGTAATTAATTGAAATGCAGATAAATATTGTTATATTTAGCATGCCCAACCTGAAACAGGTGATAAATAATTTTTTCTCAAGTTGTGTTATTGAAGGATCCGAATGTTTTAATTCATTTCTCTTATATTTTTTTGTGAAAATATCAAATTTCTTTAAACTAAATATTTTTCATCAACTGTACAGTTTGTTTTAAACTGTTTGTTTTTCTTTATTGCGGTTTGTGGAAAAATTAAATCCTGCGGAGGCCGTTTCCAATTATTTGAAGGTGGACGTGGCAAAAGAGTTAATGACCAATGGCTAAATGAAAACTGACAGCCTAGGGCCGACAACAGTAAATGGAGCAATTCTATCGGATTCTCGATACGAATTGATCATCGGCCGGTCGCCCAGTTTCCAAATATAATCAAAACCCCAAATTGAAAACCGCCCTGTACTCTTTTACTGTCGAATATTTTCACTTTTTCTTCCTTGATAGTGTCCCTCAATAACATTTTTAATAATTTTTTGTTTGTTTAAAAAACATGCTAAGACCTGCCGTACAATGGTTGATCCGAGAAAATCTTGGTTTCATAGGACGGTTTACCATTTGACAATGTCTACCAATTTTATACTATGTTTTTTTTAATTAATAGAAATTATTTATTTTTTGTCGTTATGAATCATTTTGGCCTCTGTCTTCTTCTATCGAAATACACGTTTCCTAAGCATCTGAACTGATATGGACGTCATACATCGATAAAAACAGCGTTTGCAAACATGTTTATCCAAAACATATTTCGTTAATTGGCCACAAGAATCGGATAAATAGAATTATTGATCATTTATTCCTATAACTACCGCCAAATTGTCAACATCGGTTCTCAGGATTTCAACAAACCTCGGTGGACAGGCACGCCCTCTTCTCCCCGTTTAATTTCCAGTTGTCCTCCGATTTATGAACTTCAGCACAAAACAAAAACTTGTGATCCCAATTATATTGCAACCTGTTTGAAAACCGCTCTTGTTTTGCTTTATGAGCCTTACAACTCCAGCCAAACGAGATTTCTTTGCTCTCTCTATTTCTTTGTCAACTAAACTAATTTAATGAAATATACTTGAACAATTTTCCCCTAAACTGTATTTACAATTTCAGTAAATTTATCATGATAGGACGTTCGGCGCCCAAAATTTGCGATATTTTTTAAACAACATAGCTCGCTCACTCTCTCTCTCTCTCTCTCTCTTCTCTTTTTCTCTCTCTCTCTCTCTCTCTCTCGCTCCCTCACTCACTCACTCACTTATTATTGTCATAATTAATGCTCATTTTTGTATAAATTTGT